CTTTCCCGTGTCCCCTATTCTCCAAAGCAGCCGCCTCCTGCTTAAAAGAGGCAGGAAAATAAAACCTGTGAGGAAGCTGCATTTTCTTAGACCATACCGTGAGGACGACCGTTGCAAATTGAATGACCGTGCAAAATAATTCCCCAAGAGGGATTTAAAAAAAAATATTTATGTAACCACCATTTTACAGTATCACCATTAGCGAAGCCCCCCGCCTTTTTTTTCTTTTTATAAAAGCAGGCTCCTGTTAAGTCGAGGCTGGTCTTGAACTTATGATCACCTTGTTCAAATTTCCAAGTTTTGGAATTATATATGCCACAAAGCTCAGCTGTGGTCTAATTCTTTACCCCGCTGCCCTCTGATTCATATCACCGATTCTCTGTCCTTTATTAATGTGTGGGTTAAACAAGTGACCACCTCATTTAACATTTGGAAACTCAACTCTCAGGCTGTTTTAGCAGTGCAATTGTTGTTTGCAAATAATTTGCCTGTAAATCAGGAGCCATTATCCCCAATTTAAAAATGAGTAAGCTAGAAAAAGATTACACCTGAAGCAATAAAGCCAGACTTGCAAATGACACATTTTTACCAGTGTGACCACCCACTAGTGATCTGTGATGTTACAAACCTAGGTAAGAAGTATTTCAGGTCCATTACCAAAATATTACGAAAAGATGGCTGTGTACAGAATTGTAAGTACTATGCAAAGTCTGAGAATTCCATACTAGGCTTTAAACAGTCCCCACATAGGACCAGTGTTGTCTCTTCCAGAGAGAAGAGGGTCTGGATTCTCTACCCACTAGAAGGTCTTTGAACATCCATAGAGTGGAAGAAGAAAATTTGGGTGTGTAAAAGGCACCACATGAATGAGGATAAAGGGCAAAAGTTCTCAGTTACGGCTACATGGCCTATCATCTTCCCCATTTTGTGATACAGATATTAATAACAAAAATTCTGTCATTCCTGAAAATTCAACAGCATGTGTCCCCAGTTATAAGTTATTTCTGTGTCAAGCTTCTGGGATTGGAATCAAATGTTCCACAGCACAGATGGTAGTGATAATCTTAAGCAAGCCCCTCCCCATTTCCTTTCTATTTTATACTCTACTTTTGGCCAGTTATTTTAATAATTTTATTTTTCTGCTTATTCAGTTAGTTCCACAGGACTAAAACTGGTTCCTTCATCTGAATCCATTGTACAATAGTTATTTTTCTCATACAGTCAGGATCCAATTCTGACAGAGTACTTACTAAGGAATATTAAGAGATGTTTAAGTACAAGAGGCATACTGGGTTTCATTCACTTCCAGCAACTAGCTAAAGGGACCTGGGACTGGGACCGTTATAAGGCGATTCAATTCACACTTCCTCTCACTGTTTCTGTTACTTGCCCCACTTGTTAACGACTCTCTTCCTTTCATAAACGCTTTCCCTTTCCTGTAGTCAGTCTAAACTTTAAAGATACTGTCCACAGATCAAAAGCTCTGTTTTCCCCTCTCAAAGGAGGGTGGGGGGTGGGGGTGGGGGTTCTTTCATGGAGCTCACTTTGGCATGATCTCACATTTAAATATGCTAGACATAATTGGTACTATGGTGAGGATTAATTTGGTCAAAATTTGAACATACAGTTCATGACTTTAGATTCATTTCTACCAACAGTTTGCAGAGTAAAGACTCCTACCCATCCACCCTTGTCCAGTTGCTCAAGAAGGAGGGGACAAAGGCCAACAATTTAGTTGGTAGGCTGAAAAGGGAGGAATAGTGAGTCAAGCAGGAGAGGGACTCTCAAGCGCCTGTAAATCTTCCTGTATGACTGCTCTGAGCCATGCTACTATAAAGGGACCCAGAGAGCTCCTGAGAGCGGCCGTTACCCTCTGAGATGCAGGGGTAACAGGGGTAATAATTTGAAAACATTAAACAGATGCCGTTTCATTCCTCTCGCATAAATCAGGTTACCTGGCAGCTATTCTCCAGTTTAGCCTTGGGGGAAAGAGGAAGGCAAATTCTACTTTGGGGAGAGGATGATACAATATTGGGAAAACCAGAAAAGGTGGAAAGAGGCACAGAGAGCCCATCTTTTCCAGGCCCAATGGAATGTAGGAATGAAGGTTAAAACAAGTAAACAAAAGGCAACTGGTCTCCCAGTCTGTCTCCTAGAAGAGACATCAAATAGGCTGAAGGTACAGCCAAAATCTAGGGGACTTTGTTTTGTCTCATTTCACATTGAAAAGTCTTGGAAATGGCTATCCTTTTAAGAATGTCTCACTAATTCCATTCTCAAGGGAGGTGCAGCCTATCTGGGTGAAGACCTCCTTTCGTGACAAGGTCCAGCCCTGCACCACAGTGAAGAACTCTTTCTTTAACAAGCTATGGCCCCACCACAGTGAGGACCTCTTTCCTAACAAGGACTGGCCCATCACAGCTCCACTACTACTCTGATCAGTAGCTTGAAGAGAAGGAAAGTTGAGGAGTTTCTGTCTGCCCTCTAGAAAATAAGCAGGAGGTTGAGTGGTTGAGTGATTGATGCTTCTGGGAACTGAGATTATGGTAGTGGTGATGGCAAGGGTGTTATCACAGCAGATACAGAGGGACATTAACAGTTCACAGGAACTGAGAGAGAGAGAGAGAGAGAGAGAGAGAGAGAGAGAGAGAGAGAGAGAGCTGTGAGAAAAGGGACACAATGTCAGAGCTAAAGTCTGTAGGTGATGCCCGAGAGTTCAACATAGAACACCAACAGAATGCCTGTGGATGTCACCAGACCAGAACACCTCAGCAGGACTAGGCATTGCAAAGGCAGGGACTGGCATGGGACCAGGAGCCCCACCCCACCCACCTTCTGGCGTTCTACACATCCATTCAGTCCCCAGACAGCAGGCAAAGGGAAGCGGATCTTAGAAATTGACTATTTATCCAAGAGATGAAGCTCAAAGGTACCTAAACTGGAAGATACTGTAATACAGTGAACTGGCAAGCTTAAAACTTTCTGGTTCCCTAGTTCCCAGCAGGCTAAGGGAAGTCACACAGATGAAAGGAAGAAAGAAAATAACTAAAGTGTGTTGTATACCTGACTGCAGATTACGCTTTTGTTGTATACCCAGAGAGCTACCTAAAATTGTGTGTGGCTCCAGGTGCCCATAGGGGGGAAACACTCCTTTCACCAAGTGGTATATTAAAGTCTGGACCCAGGCAGCTGTGGGGGGCTTGGCTTGGTTTGGCCACTCACTGGTTTGTAATTTTGGCAACTTGTTTCATATCTTTAGGTTCTTGTTCCCTGATCTATAAATAATACTGCAATAATACTGGTTTTACAGTATTGCTACGGGGTTAAGTTATGTAACACACTGAAAGCACCTGATGTTGAGACAGGCCAAAACCTCAGGTTCTGACCTCAAGACACTTCCAGGGATGAGGATGATGAGCAGGTACAATGCAGTTACAATAAAATGGCTAAGATCAGCACTGAATTCAAAGTGGGACTGGGAAAGGGGGGTGGCCTGAGCTCTCTGGGCATCGTCTACCATGATACCATGAGTGATGATAGTTAGTAACTTGGTTTTTGGTTTTGGGGTTTTTGTTTGTTTTGTTTTTCAAGACAGGTTTTCTCTGTGTAGCTTTGGAGTCTGTTCTGGAACTCGCTCTTTAGACCAGGCTGGCCTTGGACTCACAGAGATCTGCCTGCCTCTGACTCCAGAGTGCTGGGATTAAAGGCTTGTGCTACCAGAGCCCGCAGTAACCTGTTTTGATCACTTCCCATGCAACACTTCTCTTAGAGAAGGGCCCTCCACTGTGCTCCTTGAGCAGAGCCTGGCAGGCAGTAGGCACTAAATGAATATAATCGTTCATTTGTTCAATGGATGTTTTAGGGGAGGAACAATTTGTTAGCAATTGGATATCAGAGTTTCTTGCCCATCAGCTGAGATGCTTATCCTGGAGGCAGTGTTTTCATTAGAGAGAGGATGGAGTGGGGAGGAAGGATGGAGTAGAAAGGCTTTTTGACAGAGGCAGGAAGGGGTGTGCTCCCGGCAGGACACTACAGACTGCTCTGTATGGAGAGAAAGCAGAGAGCACAGTCGCAGGGGCCAACAGGAAGAGGGTCTTATGGCCATGCTGAAGAGCTTGGCTTCAATCTGAACTGATCTGCAAGTAGGAAGTATAGAAAGGGTAATGATGAAATGTGCATATCAACTTGTGATGATGATAGCAGTATGATGCTGTATTGAAGATTAAAACCAGCCCTCAAACCTAAAGTAAACAAAACCAAAACAATGGAGATTTAAACCAACAGATCAAAGGACTATAGAAGTAAGCACACATTTGCAAATTCAAAGAATCTAAAGTTAGGATTTGGTAGATAACTGGAAATGGGCCAGGTGATGGGAGGGAGTTGAGGGTAGGAGGTAGTGAAGGAAATGGAAACATCTCACATAGGTCCCAAGCTTGCAGCTTGGTGACCAAGTAGATAATAATATGATTTAGCAAGCTTAGGAATGCAGATTAAATTGCTCTTTTGGAAGACAGTTTCTCAAATGTATTTTAATCATAAGAGGAAAACCCTACAGGACATGCTATTAGCAGTCAGCCCGTGTGTCAGTCTTTCCAGATTTGTTGAATGTGTGTGGGTCTTGGTCTTATCAGCTGTGTTTGATGTGCATACACACTAATTTTTGGATAA